CCACAAGGTGGACTATTGCTAGGCAAATCGGGAAATGCTAAGTGCGAGGCGCGGTGCTTCTACTTCAGCGCCAGAGGTTTGCTTTAGAGACGCAGAGTGAGGCGAGGAGTTTGGGACAAAGCCAAGGGGCTCTTTTTCGATGGACGATATCGTAAAGCAATACAAACAGATGGCTATTGACGAGGATAACGAGGAGTTGATTTTCGATGGTGATGATGGCGGAGAATCGACAGCGAGCGAAGGGAAGGTGTCCTCCCATGTGGTTGGCATGGTACTCACGGATCGAAAGAATAAATTTCAGACATTCAAGGAGTTGATGAAATCTTTGTGGAGACCAGTCAAAGGTGTCTCTATTAAGGAAATTGGCGAAAAGGTACATTTTTATTTTTTTTATATCACAATTTGGATGTGTGGCGTGTGTTAGATGAAGATCTGTGGTTATTCGAGAGGAACTTGTTGATCCTAAAAGAAATTACGGCGGAGGATACCCCTCTACAAATCAGTCTGAATGAGACCGAATTTTGGGTTCAGGTTCATAATGTGGCATATGGTTTTATGAATCTAGGATATGCTAGGAGAATTGTCAACTATATTAGAAAATTTATTAGTTTTGATGAAAACCAGTTTGATGAAAAATGGGAGGCTTATATGCGCATTAGGGTCCGATGGATATTAGAAGACCCCTGAAAAAGGAACAACCTTGAAAAAAGGGGGTATTACTTAGTGGGTGGACTTCAAGTATGAAAAACTTTCTAATTTTTGCTCTTTATATGTGGGATTATTGGGCATTCTGATAAATTTTGTCCAATCATGTATGAGGGAGATAGTAGCATCACGTTTGATAAAAATTATGGAGTTCATCTTAGAGTTGGGGGAGGCGTGAAGACCAGTCCCACAAGAGGAAACAAGTGACTAGTCCAATCAACTGGTATGAGAGTAGCGCAGAGGAGTGTTAGTCAAGGCACAGGAGACCAAGGCCGGAAGGAGGCTACTGGAACTATCGCTATTAATGAAGGGAACTCAGTGAGCCCAGAAGAGATGTCGCGAGAGTAGAAGCGCAGAAGAATCTTTGAGGAGAAAGAACATGAGGGTTCAGTCGGAGAGGACATGTCACTCAACAAGCTAAAAACGGGAGGAGACGGGTCTCGATGAGTAGATCCACCGGATTACCTGAGGATGCTTGACAGACCGTCTGGTTGGCTTTATGACGGTGCACTTTAAGTTGGAGAAGACTTTTTATATTTCTTCTTTTTTAGTTGTTGTTTTCTTTAATTAGGATGTTTACTGTTTTGTTGTTTTGATTTTTGACTGTAAGACTCTTGCATTGAGATTGAGTGATGGTAGATCTGCTTCGACCGTCTTTAACTCATGTAGGTCCATTATAGGATGGACGAGTTATATTGCTTGTTTGAAGATGATTAACTTTAAATCAATTATAATTGTTATATTGTTATAATGGTTGTATGTGATCTCTATATCGTTTTAACCTTTTTCATAATTTTAATGGAGTGATATCTATGTAAGCCCTCTCTTCCAAGAAAAAGTATTGATTCTAGAGATTGTAAAAAAAAAAAAGAGAATATTACCCTAAATAGGAAAAAAAAGGTTTGAAAATTTCAAAATAGGACTGTCATGTTTTTATTCCCAAAATAAGGCTAATTACTGTCATGTTTTGGCAGTACTAGACTTCAAACATGACCGTATTTTCCAAACCTGACAGTAATTACTCCTATTTTGGAAATAAAAAACATGAGAGTCCTATTTTAGAATTTTTTTTAATCCTATTAGTGAAACTTTCCCAAAAAAGTATTGATCTCTAGTCTAGTGGCCAAATTACCAAATTGGTAAAAAAAGAGGGCTGTTGGACAGATTGGTAAAAAAAAAACCAACCGAGACAAATTGGTAAAAAAAAAGGCCTAGTGACAAATTGGTCAATTTTTTGAGAGACAAACTTTTGATCCTAGACTTTAGAATTCCCGACATTTCATATTATAAGTATTGTGAAATTGACATTTGTCGTCATTTTACTTTGATTTTGTCATCAAAAGTGGAGGTCTAAAAATGTCAACGACTGTGTTTGATAATAGCGGTTGTTTGCTAGCTCATATCCGGTTGTATCAGCAGATTGATATTAGCGGATTCCGTTGGTTTTTTTTAACTAACCGCTTTCATTAGCGTTTTGAAATACAATGTAAATAACATAAAATATGCAATTAGCTTTTCAAACGTAAAATGACCGTTAAAAATTAATTTAAAAGTTTATATATTTAAATAAACTTTATTTCTTTTTATTTTTAATAAGTCCTGGAAAAAGTTTAAAAAATATGTTTACGTTTATTTTGTTGGAAAAATGTGTGAAAAAAATTGCATTAAATGGCTATTTTGGGGCAATTTTTTGAGTGGGGTCCACTTCCGATTTGGGTCGGGTCAAAGTGGTTTCGGATTGTCCTTGTTAAGGGCTACAATTCGATATATGGTACGCTCAAAACGGATAACGGGTGAATGAGAAATCGTTTTTCAAAGTTTACCCGTTAGAAGGGAAAAAGGATGGGTTTCTAGTGTGTTAATTTCCCACACCGGAAAACCCAAGGGATTTGCAACCCTTTATAAAGGGACTCTCCCCTTATGGAGTTAAAATTCTTAAGGGTAAAGGCTCTCTTCACGCGCGCAGGGGGGGGGTGCAAATCAAATCCCGAATTCGGAGAAGAAAAACCGCGACTTGCGTGCGCGGGCGACCTGCGGACACGAATGTCGTCCAAAAATCTATCTCTCAAGAGATACGATTAATTTTTTTTGTTTTCTTCTCGAAACGTTTAATTTTTTTTTAACAGAAGTGCTCCGGGGCAGAAGGCCACGACCAGAGGTGCTCCAGTTCTGATGGCCTTCGGGCAGAACTGCTCCAGTTCTGATGGCCTTCGGGCAGAACTGCTCCAGTTCTTATGGCCTTCGGGCGCGCATCAGAACTGCTCCAGTTCTAATGGCCGCGGATCAGAGTTGGGGTCTTCTGATGGGTCTTCGATCAGAACCCCTCCCGGGGTGTTCTGATGGAGGTCTTCTGTCGCGCTTCTGATACGTTACAACAATTAATGCCCAACGTTTATATCTTTTAATGCAGCGTTAAATGGACAGTTCATGGACGATTCAATGCCCAACGGACTGGTCATTGATGTCCAACGTTCAGGTCCATTAATTCACTATTTTCATACAACAAATCCTCCTATATAAAGGCTGGCAGGTGGTTTGCAACAACACACGTTCTTACACGAATTCATACACGTTTTAGCTCTAAAAACACACTGCTAGCATTCTGAAAATTTCCTTTGTGTTCAGTCTGTGTTCTCGTTCGCCGGAACTCTTGTTTGTGTGCTCAAACATTAGTTCGTAGTCATCGTATCCTGGGAAACTATTGTTGCAACGCTCCTAGCACCGTGGGAGGCAACAAATACGTTTTAAGGACATCGTGCGTAGCACGAGCTTTGACTAATTCTGCTTCATCTCCTTTCTTGTTTTTCTCTAGTCATTTTATTTAATTAATTTTAATTAATTTTCTTTATTTTCCGAAACACACCCAACATATTTTAAATAATTAATAACACTATCATTTTTAAGATATGTATATTGATGCAAGTACACACATATAAATTCATATATTTTTAGTATTAGTATTTTAAATATGGCTATTTATTAGCTTTTTTAAATCTACTCCATATGACTATTTATTATTATTTTATAAAATCTACTCCATGGTTATTTTAAATAAATGTAAAATCTACCAAGAACATCTAATTTCAGTCAATTTTAAGTTTAGAAAACCAGGATGGAAGTTGATTAGATGGAGCAGACCTAAAAATAACTACAAGCTCAATGTAGATGCTTCGTATGTACCTGGTTCTACCATGGGAGGCGCTATTCTCAGAAACCGCGAGGGGAAGATGATCTGGGCCTTGTGTTTCAGGGTTCACGCAGATTCGAGTGAGGAAGCCGAGCTCCAAGCTATGATATATGATACTGATTTGGTTCTTCAGATGGGGGTGTCTGGTTTTCAGGTAGAAGTGGATGCGGCTAACATCATCTCCCTGCTTCAAGCACATGATTTAGGAAAGTATGCCTATCTTCAGGCATTTCGAACAAAGGCGATAGATAAGGGCCTCTGTTTTGGACATATTCTCAGAGAAGGAAATGGGCCTGCCCATCATCTGGCAACCCATGCTATTACTTCAGCCCAAGCTATATTTTTTGACCAAGTGCATACTTTGCCTGCTAAAATTAAGTCCAGTTATTATGCAGATCTTTTTGGATTTCCTTATTTTCGCATTTTATTTTCTTTACGTGTTCTTCATTTGGGTACGGTTTGGCCCCCCAAATCTATATTTTTATTTATTTTCGGGAAGGAATGCCTTCTCATGTGGGGTTGGGCCTAGTCCGCCTCACTTTTTTTTTATCCTAGTCATGATTAATAAAACTTTGGCAAAATGACACCCGGCATTTACCCCACAGATATTGGTGGTTTGCCTTCCGGGGTAAAAAAAATAATTTTTAAAACCTTTTGAAAGACTTAATAAAAATAAAAGAAATAAAGTTAAGATAAATACACACACACTTTTAAATCCATATTTTTAATGGTTATTTTAAGGCATAAGATTTAATCGCAAATAGTTAAGTTACTAATATTTTATTTCAAACGCTAAAGAAAGCAGTTAGTTATAATAAAGTTAATGGAATCCACTATTATGAATATGTTGATTCAATCGACTATAAGCTAGCAGACAACCGCTATTATCAAACACAGTCATTGACATTTTTAGACTTCCACTTTTGACGACAAAATCAAAGTAAAATGACTGTAAATGTCAATTTCACAATACTTATAATATGAAATGTCGGGAATTCTGAAGTTGGGGATCAAAAGTTTGTCATTCTAAAAAAATTGACTAATTTGTCACTAGGGTTTCTTTTTTTTACCAATTTGTCTCAATTGGTTTTTTTACAATCTGTCCAACAGGCAACAGCCCTCTTTTTTTTGTTTCCAATTTGGTCATTTGGCCCTGGTCTTTGCCTCTCTCGGAGTGAAACTCGTTCAAAGTAAAAACATTCTGCGAGTAACCAAAAGAAATTATGTTAGTAACATTGAGGAAAAGGCCTGCAATTCGGTGGTTGATGATAGAAGTGAGTTTGATTTATAAGAAAGCTACGTAATCACAACCAAAAGTGACGCACCATCTTAATCTTTTCTCACCTGCAGTTGACTAGGTAAGGCGAGAAACCCAAATATCCATTATCCAGTTCTAGATAATTCGAGCAGAACCTTTGAGATTCGTGCAATGGAATCGTCATCTTCATCCTCGATCATTACTCCCGAAGATGTGTTGGAGACGCTGATGAACGACGGCACAATTGACGCCATCCGACTGAAAATCATCTCTCAGCTCAAAGCCAATGTAATCCCAGAATTCATTTTTTCTCAATTTTTGGGTTTGGAAGATTAATTCATTAGTTGATGCTTTCTTTTGCGTGTTTAATGTTATTCGATGCTGATGATTTGATATTGTTTATCTGATCAAGGAAGAACTGAAGAACACAACCATAAAAATGGTGGAACAGAGTAAGGTTCTGAACACTCCAGGGGCTGAGAAGCAGACCAAAAGAGAGCTTTTTGATGCACTTCGTCAAGAACTAGAGTGAGTCCATCTTTCTGCCAAGTTTCATTGTTCATGTTGCTTTCACCCTGCTTGGGTTAGGATACTGCTTGTTAGAATTCAAGATTCTATTTTGAGAATTGACTTTCTTTGTTAGATAAGTAGATTACACCTTTTGTTTATAACTTTATATTACGAGTATTAAAGTGTAATTGTAAAGAACATCAATTTGAAGTTACTCTACTACCAGTTTTTTCCTCCCTCCTTGAAAATACATTCATGTTCATTAGGTACACTACTTTTAATTGTGGTAATGTATAACCCTTCTAATTATTAATCCTACTTTTTCCCTCAAATTTGATTGCTTGCTCAACTAAATTTAAAGATTCTAAGTTTAACGTACTTAATTTGTTTGTAACTCATTATATTGGAAAAGTTACATTAAGTTCAATGAAAATTAGCTTCTTGTGTTGATATATGTAATTATGAATTTTTTCCGGATGAGCATTACTTTCAAACAAGATTATTTTTGGAGGACGGAGGAAGTTTTCTTTTTTGTTGGGGGGGGGGGGGATTGAGATTAGTCCTCAATCATTTTAATGTTTTCTTGTAGTCAGTTTTATATCTAAATACCTTTTGCAGTTAGCGGGCCGACATGAATAGCAGCGAGCCTTTTTATAATTCTTTCTACTACATTCGGAATTCATAGACAGCGACTCTCATATTAGATTGAAAAGCAAAGTACCATGAGTCCATGTGGGTTTGAAGGGTGTAGGGGAGCTCACACTATGTTGACGTGAAGTTCATCAATCCAAAAAAGTAAAATACACAGCATAATACAGGTTTTAGTCAGGACCTGATCTTTGAAACTTCTAGAATCACAGAAGTGGATGGTTATTTCTATCGGGGTATAAAATCTTTCTTCTACTTTTTTACTGGGCTTAAGTTGAAGCAATTAAAACAATGTAGTCTAGAAATTCAAAGTATCTAGTGGTATGTTTGAATGGAGTGTTTAGAGGGGATTGGGATGTGTAGTCTATATCATGCATCATATATGAAATTTCATAAGAATGAAAAAATAACACAACATATGATTGTATAAATTTCAATAACCTTTTATTCATTTTCTAAAAACATTTTACTCTAGCTAATCATTATCCTTATTGAAATCCCTTACTAAAGTCAATGCTATATAAGTTAATGTTGTGCAGTCGAGATATGTTTCTTGACTTAGTGATCTTAGCGAAGGGAGGGTTTGGCTCTTAACATAGACAAGGACACAAGGGGTGCTTAATGATATGGTTGTGTCATGTTAAACTCTCTACCCAGTGGATCATCTCTTTACACTTGAAAGTTTAAACAAATTAAATTAAATATTTTTTTGTCTTTGTTCAGCTGTTTGCCATAATTCTCAAGGCCATTAAGCTCTTCAAATCACCCCCTCTCTAGTGTACCAAAACAGTGTATTTTTCTGTTACGGATGCATTTTATGGAATTCCCTATCGCAGGAGGAAACATATGGGCCGGCAGGAAGTTTAATTGGAAGAGGACTATCCTGATGCTATTTTCATATTTTATTTTATTTATTTATTTATTTATTTATTTATTATTTCCTATTATTAATAGAAGTATTAGAAGTTACAGTTTTAGTTAGAGTAGAAATCTATCAGGTAGATGGCAGACTGCCTATTTATATTCTTTATTCAGCCTTAATAAAATCTATCGATCTTTAGAAATTGTTCGCAGAGAAGCCACGGACTCTCTCTCTCCTCCCTGCGCTCTTCCAGCCACGGGCAAGAAGAAGAGTAACCCTAGGCGGCAGGTTCTGCCCTCACCGACACACCCTGCCACAGCAAGTCGTCCTTGGACTCGTTCTCAATCCCAGAACCCTAACAATTTGGTATCAGAGCCATCACGATTCATGGCGCCACAGAATGGGGATTTAACCACCATGATGAAGGAATTTATGGAGGCTATGACTGCTAAGACAACCGCGTTAGAAGGGCAGATAGCGGCTCTCTCTCTGGCAGTCCACAAATGAGATTCAAAGATAGTAGAAACACATGAAGATGAAGTGGATAACAGCCGAGTGCAAGACCAGCCATTGCAGAAAACCACGAACCCCTGGAGACCACAATATGCGAAGATGGAATTCCCAGTATTCGATGGCAACTCTGACCCTATCAGCTGGTTGAAAAGGTGCGAAAAATTCTTCTTGAATCAAGAAACTCCTGGTGCTGCCAAGGTCAATGTTGTTGCATTCCACTTGATAGATGATGCACAACTCTGGTTTGACCAGATGATCGAGGAAGAAGGAGAAGTCAATTGGGATAGGTTTAAAGACCTTTGCCTGGAGCGTTTTGGGCCCCCTCTGAGTTCTAACCCGGTAGGTGATCTAAAGCTTTTAATGCAAACAGGGACAGTTGATGAATATTGTGCCCAATTCCAAAAAGCCTTAGCCAGAACTTCAGGAATACAACCCACACATCAGATTGCTTTATATGTTGCTGGTTTACAACCTCACTTGAGGGCGGATGTGGAGATGGCAAAACCAGGAAACCTGGGGTATGCAATGAACCTTGCGCGGACGTTAGAAGCAAAGCAGTCATTGACAATTGCACCTGTCAAAGGCTGGAGTGTTGCGACAGATGCAAAACAACGAAGCCCGCAACAACATAGACAAACACCCATGACAACTAAGGCAGGAAACCCGATTATTAAACGGCTCACGAAGGGTGAAATGGCAGAACGGCGAGCAAGAGGGCTCTGTTATAATTGTGATGAACTGTGGTCGATGAATCACCGGTGCAAGAAGCTTTTCTTGATCGAGGTCGAAGATGAGGAGGAGGAGGATGGCTTACCAGACTTGGACTTGGAGTTGTCTGCCAACGCTATAAGTGGTACAAAACACTCATCGACCATGCAGTTACTAGCAAGAATGGAAGGAAAAGAGTTGACAGTGTTGATTGACTCCGGAAGCACCCATAATTTCTTAAGAGAAGCGGTAGTATCATCTCTGAAGTTACCAATTCTTAGGAAGTCAGGGTTGCATGTGCGAGTGGCTAACGGTGAAAGGGTTCCAAGTCAAGGGGTATGCAAATTAGTTCCTTTCCTGGTTGACGGAGAGGAATATAGTGCAGATTTTTACACTATTCTGCTAGAGGGTTTTGATGCCATATTAGGTGTGTCTTGGTTGGCGACTCTAGGGCTCATATTATGGGACTTCTATGATAGAACGATGCGATTCGAAAGGGGGAGCAAGACAGTGATTTGGCGCGGACTGCATCCTACATTTGTTCCTCGTGTGGCGCTGCTTCACAGCAACGACCCGGACACAGCTCAGTTGGACATCTTAATGAGGGAATATGAAGATTTATTTGCTGAACCCAAGGGGCTGCCACCACAGAGAGAGTGTGATCACCGAATTACCCTAAAACCTGGAAATGGACCGGTGGTAGTGCGACCCTACCGTTACCCTTACTTCCAAAAAGACGAGATTGAAAGGCAATGTGAATTGATGCTTGACCAGGGGATAATCCAGCCAAGTAGATCACCGTTCTCTTCTCCAGTTCTACTCGTTAAGAAGCACGATAATTCTTGGAGGTTTTGTGTTGATTGTCGAGAACTTAACAACAACACTGTCAAGGATAAATATCCTATTCCGGTAGTAGATGAATTGCTTGATGAACTTCACGGTGCAAAATATTTCACAAAACTGGATTTAAGATCAGGATATCATCAAGTCCGGATGCACCCCGAAGATGTGGAGAAGACGGCATTTCGTATCCATCATGGGCATTTCAAGTTCTTAGTTATGCCCTTTGGCCTAACTAATGCACTATCCACTTTTCAAAGTCTTATGAACAGCATCTTTCGCCCCTATTTACGCAAGTTCATCTTGGTTTTCTTTGACGATATTTTGGTTTACAGTAAAACATGGGTAGAATATCTTCATCACGTGCGACTTGTGTTTGAAATTCTTCGTCAAAACAACCTTTTCTTGAAGCAGTCCAAGTGCATGTTTGGAGAAACCCAAGTCTCGTACCTGGGACATGTCATAAATGAAAGGGGGGTAGAAGCTGATAGCTCAAAGGTGAGTTCAGTTAAAGCATGACCAATTCCTCACTCAACAAAAACTCTAAGGGTTTTTTTGGGACTGACAGGCTATTACCGAAAATTCATACAGAATTACGGTGAGATTGCAGCCCCCCTAACTTCTCTTTTGAGGAAAAACTCATTTCAGTGGACTCCAGAAGCGCACCGTGCATTTGAGAAGCTAAAAGAATTACTCTCTTCTGCTCCCGTGCTGTCATTACCTGATTTCCAGAAAGAATTTGTGGTGGAGTGTGATGCATCTGGGACCGGGGTGGGGGCAGTGCTCCAGCAGGAAGGACACCCTATTGCTTTTTCAGTAGGAAATTCCCAGAGAGGCATCAAAAGTTGGCAGCTTATGAAAGAGAGTTAATCGGCCTCGCTAAAGCCATCACTCATTGGAGACCATACCTCTGGGGTTGCCAATTTTTGGTCCGCACCGATCACTTCAGTTTAAAGTATCTCCTGGAGCAACGCTTGACAACCTGTCCGCAACAGCATTGGCTAAGCAAGCTGGTGGGATTTGATTTTCGTGTGGCATATAAACCGGGAAGATTAAATGCGGCTGCTGATGCCCTCTCACGCAGAGAGGACATTGAGATAGAATGCGTGGCAATCACTATTCCGATAACCACCTTGTTCGAAACAATTAAAAAGGAAGCAACTGGTTCGCCAGAATGGTCTGCAATGGAGGAAACGGTCAAGCAAGGGAAACTAGGAGAGGACTGGAAGCTTGCAGAGGGGTTGCTGCTGTTTAAAGGGAGGGTTTTCCTCGGCTCTGACTTTCCAATTATTCCTCAGATTATCTCTGAATTGCATGATATGGGGCACAAAGGCATAGAAAAAACTTTGCAGCGTATTCAGCGTGATTTTTATTGGCCCGGTATGAGAAAAATGGTGGGAGATTACATCAGATTGTGCCAAGTTTGTCTGTTGCAGCCATTACCGGT